AGCATTTATAGGACGTACTTCATTCATCTAGCATTTAAAGGACGTACTTCATTCATCTAGCATTTATAGGACGTACTTCATTCATCTAGCATTTATAGGACGTACTTCATTCATCTAGCATTTATAGGACGTACTTCATTCATCTAGCTGTTATAGGACGTTCTTCATTCATCTAGCATTTATAGGACGTACTTCATTCATCTAGCATTTAAAGGACGTACTTAATTAATCTAGCATTTATAGGACGTTCTTCATTCATACAGCATTTATAGGACGTACTTCATTAATCTAGCATTTATAGGACGTACTTCATTCATCTAGCATTTAAAGGACGTACTTCATTCATCTAGCATTTAAAGGACGTACTTCATTCATCTAGCATTTATAGGACGTACTTCATTCATCTAGCATTTATAGGACGTTCTTCATTCATCTAGCTGTTATAGGACGTTCTTCATTCATCTAGCATTTATAGGACGTACTTCATTCATCTAGCATTTAAAGGACGTACTTCATTCATCTCGCTGTTATAGGACGTACTTCATTCATCTAGCATTTATAGGACGTTCTTCATTCATCTAGCATTTAAAGGACGTACTTCATTCATCTAGCATTTATAGGACGTACTTCATTCATCTAGCATTTATAGGACGTACTTCATTCATCTAGCATTTATAGGACGTACTTCATTCATCTAGCTGTTATAGGACGTTCTTCATTCATCTAGCATTTATAGGACGTACTTCATTCATCTAGCATTTAAAGGACGTACTTAATTAATCTAGCATTTATAGGACGTTCTTCATTCATACAGCATTTATAGGACGTACTTCATTAATCTAGCATTTATAGGACGTACTTCATTCATCAAGCTGTTATAGGACGTTCTTCATTCATCCAGCATTTATAGGACGTACTTCATTCATCTAGCATTTATAGGACGTACTTCATTCATCTAGCATTTATAGGACGTACTTCATTCATCTAGCATTTATAGGACGTACTTCATCCAACATTTATAGGACGTACTTCATCCAACATTTATAGGACGTACTTCATCCAACATTTATAGGACGTACTTCATTAATCTAGCATTTATAGGACGTACTTCATTCATATAGCAATTATAGGACGTACTTCATCCAACATTTATAGGACGTACTTCATCCAACATATATAGGACGTACTTCATCCAACATTTATAGGACTTACTTCATCCAACATTTATAGGACGTACTTCATTAATCTAGCATTTATAGGACGTACTTCATTCATATGGCAACTGCTGGCGTGTTCTGCCGCCAACAAAACCAAACAAATTGATTGGTAGACATAAAATGATGTACTTACATAACGTCTCATTCATCACCCAGATGACCACGACTGCAGACCTGAGAGTAATCATCACTTTACATCACATGTATAGATAAAACTTCACACATATCGATTTGCAACGTCGGATATAGTATAGCAAGTTAGCATTGTTAATTGGCCATATTTCATATTCACAGATGATGCAGTCTGCAGTTGATGAATGAGACCTACATGGATTACATGAACAAGGCGTTGCCTCCTTTTGTCAATTGATCATTCAAACGACTCCTGGTCGAAACAATTATGTCACAATGACACAAACCTTTGTATCGGCATATACGAAAAACTACACCGAGAGAGGATGTGCGCTCGCCATATGCAACATCTGGCATATCAAAAATCAATATTATATATGTGACAGAAACCGCTCACATGCGTAACATGCATAAATACATTAAATGAAATATTATGCTTGCAACACATGTAAGCTTGACTCAAACTGTGACACGGCCTATGGTAGACATATTTGGTAAGCACAGAGCAGGTCCGTGGCACGCTGTTGCACGCCGCTGGGTGAAATATGCCAGCAATATCACCGGGGCATGGACATGATCGAGTCTGGACCAGGCAAACCAGTGAGTGAAAGCATGAGCTCTGAACCAAGACTGACTGACTGAGTATGGTTTTACGCCGCTTTTAGCAATATTCCAGCAATATCACGGTGGGGGGCACCAGAAATGGGCTTCACACATTGTACCCATGTCGGGAATCGAACCCGGGTCTTCGGCGTGACGAGCGAACGCTTTAACCACTAGGCTACCCGACCGCCCCCTCTGAACCAAGAGAACGGGGTATGAAGTCACCGATTCTGGCCACCTGCTTCTCTCGAGTCGACTCATGCTACAACACAAGTACACGATCTGGGCCCAGTTGCACAAAGCCACCAGGGCCCCGTTCCTCAAAGCGATCTTAGCGCTAAGATGATCGTAAGTCTATGTTAAAGTATGGGACTTACGATCACCTGAGCCCTAAGATCGCTTTGAGGAATGGGGCCCTGAGCGTTAAGATTATCGTAAGCCTATGTTAAAGTATTGGAGTAACGATCATCTTAGAGTTAAGATCGCTTTGTGCAAGTGGACCCTTAACTCCCATGGGAGCTCTGACAGAGCAGAAGAGGTGTTGGAAGATGATGGTAATAATAATAATAATAATAATAATAATAATAATAATGCTGAGGCTGATGATGATGATTATGATGATGATGATGATGATGATGATGATGATGATGATGATGATGATCCACTTCCAGCACAAGACTCTAACAACGTATGTTCTAAGCGCAGGAAATTATTAAACGTTGGTCTGTGGACTAAAGTGCATTTAGACAGAATGCTCAGCTCCCTGGGAAATATACAATCCCAATTCTTACATTCTTTGCATGCACTGTTCAGTGGGGTCTGTTTTATCGCATTGCAGGACCCCTTATTTATACCTATGACGCTATCAGACGCTATCATACTACTGGGCCTGCTATGCGATATACACTTATCAATATTCATAAACGCAGGGGCGGTCGGGTAGCCTAGTGGTTAGAGCGTTCGATCGTCACGCCGAAGACCCGGGTTCGATTTCTGACATGGGTGCAATGAGTGAAGCCCATTTCTGGTGTCCCCTGCCGTGAAATTGTTGGAATATTACTAAAAGCGGCGTAAAACCATACTCACTCACTCACAAACGCAGCGCAAATTGGTCATAGTACCGTTAGCACGGCGGACATTACATATCGCTCATTACAGCTCAATAAAGATGTCAACGCGTTGTAAATTTGAATGAACGACCGCCCACGAATCTCCTAAAGAAATGAAATCTTGTTGTTGTTGTTGTTGGTGGTGGTGGTGGTTGTTTAACGCCGCAATCAGCAATATTCCAGCTTTACGACGGCGGTCTGTAAATAATCGATACATCATAACCATCGATTGACGCAATTGGCACACGATGACATGCTTCAACTAAGTATAGTCGCCTTTTACGGCAAGCATGGGTTGCTGAGACCTATTCTAACCCGCATCTTCAGGGGTCAGAAATGAAAATTGTGAGATGGAGCCAACGTGCGGATTCCGGGTTAGGAAAGAATCCCATCAACCAAAGCCTGTCTTAAACGGCGATTAAAAGCATCGGGTGGCCAGGCTCTCTGATGGCGCGACATCGTACCCCAACGTGGTTCCCACAAGGCTATTTACAGTTCACCTTGACACAGCAGGAATGTTGCTGGTTGTAGAGTTACACAAACAAAACACATCAAGGTCACAGTCATACAGGTTTCGGGTAAGTGAGTGAGTGAGTTGGGTTTAACGCCGCTTTGAATAGAATTCCAGTTATATCACGGCGTGTCAGCTTACTGTGGGAGAAAAAGTCTAACTGATGCAGGTCTGAGACGTTTACCACCTTGGTGAAACCCACAAGCAAGGATATGGAGCTGACAAACTTAATCGGGGCGAACTGGAATTCAAACCCACAATCATAGGTTTCTGGCGTGTCCAAGGGACGCAACTCTGCCCCACCCCCAACCCCACCCATCACCGTTTTCTGTTAGAACACGTGATGACATGTTTGTGTTTTTCTCACAAAACATTTCACAAGTACCATCCCATGTCTTTAACGTCTCCAATTGTTTTAATGTCTGCTTACCTAAATCAGTGTCTGTATCGTTTCCAGGATCTGTCAGTCAGGCAGGGTTGCCGGCGCGGTGTGTAACTGACGAGACTAGTATTTACAACGCCATATGGCACAACGGGGCTTTGCATTTACGTCGCAAAAGCTACCTTTGTTGTAAAAGTATCCGTTTCACAGACTTCACGTGACTAAAAAGCCTACCTTTATTTTAATTGTAATGAAATACCCCTCCGCGACTTCAGAGCATATCGTATTCAAAACATCAATGCACCCACACAATCACATTTTGAGCCACGAGGAAACCCGACCGGTTGGTAGTGACATTGAGATTAATTTGTTGGCGTTTATTGAAAGTCAGGTTCAGCTGCGATGGTGCATCTTTTACAGACATGACTGAACTCAGTAGGCCGTATATTCTGCAAGATATAGGTTGCAGGTTGCACGTCAATTACAAGCAAGAGCCCATTGATTATAAAGTCGTATGGATCAGAAGCCGCGAAAAGTGACTTCGAAATCGGTTAATTGGTCAATTATTGAAATTTATCCTCCTCCTCCTCCCGAATGAGAGACAGCATCAGAAGGACTTATGGCAGTTGGGATCTATACAGGGATGTGTACTGTTTCCCAGAGAGTTCTGTTAACAAAGAAATGTTATACTACCTGTTCCACGTCGATGCTCTACGCTAGGATTTAACAGTCTTGTTGCATATTCCAACGCATGTACATTTATTCCTATTGTGCTATGTCAGTAAACTCTAAGCATTCAGCCTGCAGTTTGTTAATAACAGTATGAGGACAACGGCGTGGCTGGCTCTGATATACACTGCTTTGAATATTAAATTACCCCCATTACCGCTCCCATTGTGTGTTATTACGAGCGCAAAGTACATGGTGTTAGTAATCTCCAGGTTTCCGGCGGGAGAATGTATCGGCCAACGGTTATGGCTACAGCTTTGGATCTACTGCTCCGCTCGTGAGCGGAATAACCCGGATATGTCTTGACTGTTACTCACGTGGTTAGGATGTGGTCTGGCAACAACTCTGGAAGATTCTGCCTCCACCGCAGACGACCTCTACGTCGTAGTGAACTGGTCGCCGACATTTACTGCAGACCATAACATCAACGACTCATCGTCTGGTTGCCGGTTTCCGCTGAAAATAGATGACAATCGTCGTGTTGCCATGGAAACGGGCATTCGTATAATTTTTCCGTTATCGATCTCTTGCGTTCCCCTCGCCCGATACTGACAACCCTATGGCGCCTAGGTTGTTGTGAGAGGCTTAAACCTCTCGACTGCCAAGACGTGGTATAACGAGGTATCGCTGAAGAATCAGATATCCCTTGTCCTTCTGTAAACTGCGCGTGCGCCGCTAGGGCCGAGGAAACTATGTGGCCATTAATCTCACAAGAAGCAGTCTACTGGGAACAGGGTGCTTTCGGCCGGCCAGCAGCGTTCCAGCTATATGAGAGCGGTTTGTCAATTGAGTCTGGGCCAGACAAACCATTGGATGACATCATGAGCAGCTCGTCGTTATTCGGGTTATGATGACATACACTCAACCTGTGGTTGATAGCATGAGCAACGGTTCAAGGATACCATGAAATATCACGTGTTGTCCAAAGCCGGTCCACACAGATGGCCTTATGGCCATCATTGGGTATGAGGGGCCTTTTCTGTTCCGGGATCCTCGGACGTGACTAGTGAGTGAGTGAGTTGGGTTTAACGCTGCTTTTAACGGTATTCCAGTTATATCGCGGCGTGCCAGCTTAATGTGGGAGGAAAGCCCGAAGTGATGGTCTCAGACGTTTACCACTTCCGTGAAACCCACGAGCACGGGTATGGTGCTGACAAACCTAGAAACATAATCGGGGCGAACCGGGATTCGAACCCACAATCATAGGTTTCTGGCGTGCCCAAGGGACGCAACTCTGCCGGCGAATCGCGGCGCCTTAGACGACTGGGCCATCGGACGTGACTAACATGCGTGAGTAAATAAAGGTTATATTTACAGAAGGTGTACAATGGATCAGTATTCTAAGGCGCCGCAAATCTCTGTACAGAGTTCTGTCCCTTAGCCGTGCCAGGATCAGCTAGTCGTAGTCTCGAATCCACCATTCACCCCGATTATGATAATTCCCCTCCGTAATAAGCGGATACGCCGTGATATAACAAACTACTGTTCAAAACGGCGTTAAGGCTCGCTCCAATCCCTAATCCCACTCACTCACTCATTCCAGCCACCCTCTCGGTCACTCACTTTCTTGGCGATCCACTCACTCACTCTCACTGAGCTGCCCGACGCCTGGTAACGATGTTGAGGCTGGGTGTAGACCTTTCAATTAGTTTGCTGTTTGTTTGTTTGTTTGTTGTTTAACGCCGCAGTCAGAAATATTCCAGCTGTATGACGGCAGTTTGTAAATAATCGAGTCTGGACCAGACAATCCAGTGGCTTACATCATGAGCATCGATCCTTGCAATTGGGATACGATGACGTGCAACTAACCGTTTAACCCGTCACTACTCAAATGAGTAATTACCAGGCCAGTGCTAATTGCCCTGTTAATCTCTGATCCAGAATGAGTTAACACGGAGTTCATAATGAGTTGCCGTTTTCGTAACGAGGTAATAAACATGTGTTCTGGACACGAGATGATTAAAACTATTTAATGTTTATTCAGGATTAGATTTTAACATGAAATAGAGATTGTAAACTTCACGGCTATTAGTTTAGTTTTTATGTGAGTCATGTCAGTGTACGTGTGTGTAGCAATGCAGAAAGAACGTCAGGAGATGATTCAATATTGGCAGGCAGGTCGCAGTTGGTTGACTACAAAACTACATTCTCTACTTATCAGGGTTTAACTGTATTTCTTCAGCAGTGGTCGGCACGAGTGCAAATTGTGGGGAAAACCTTTTAACACACAGTTAAGTCTCAACACAAGGTCGTCACGCCGAAGACCCGGGTTCGATTCCAGACATGGGTACAATGTGTGAAGTCCATTTCTGGTGTCCCCCGCCGTGATATTGCTGGAATATTGCTAAAAGCGGCGTAAAACCAAACTCACTCACTCACTCAACACAACGCCTGGACAACGGACTACAGGCGTGCGTGCGAGCGTGGTTGCGTATGTCTGGGAAAATGGGTCGATCGGGATTTTATGAGTGATTCAATCCGTATGCCAGGAAGAGTAACTTCCCTTTATGAAATCTATGTCGCAAAGTATAACTAGAACAATGTTTCGATCTAATTAATGACACCTATGAGTATACGGATTCATGAAACCGTTCTCGAAAGGATCGCTAAGAAAAAGATTACAGAACAAAGAGATAAACTATAGACTGCAACTGTCGCATAACAATGGAACCGGAAAAGAGATTTGCTGGTGAGTGTGCATCGCCGTTGTCGATGAAAACGCCACTAAAAGAGCTGAAAATGTATCACATTTCTAATCTTTTCAAAGTAATATCTACATTGTTGTAATATTATTTGATAATGAAGTGGGTATGTGGAGACATGCAGATATTGTGAAAACTGAAACCCACAACGTTGTGAGTGCGTTTGTTATGTTTAACCATGAACCAAACATCTCCATGATAGTTTCTTTGGTGGTATGTTTACTCCTGTAGCCTGACACATCAATTATTCACACTGTACAAAAGTGCTAATATTTCCCTACACGGAAACTGGGCCAACGTTTCAAGCATTGCGATATGCCGTACGCCTGTCCCTGACGCTCTCGACAGGCAGACCCGCTGCACGGAAACTGGGTCAACGTTTCCCGCATAGCGATATACCGTACGCCTGTCCCTGACCCTCTCGACAGGCAGAACCCGCTGCATGGAAATGGATCAACGTTTCACCGCAGCGAAATGCTGTATGGGTAAATGGGTGGGAAAGAGGAGTGCAAGCGCTGTAGGGCAGGTAAACCAGTCTGGGACAGGGCGTGCCTCCCTTTTATAATATAAACAAGTTTAGTGTAACAATTTGCAGTGAGGAATCTTTAAAAAAAATGTTTTCATAAATATGTATGTATTTCGTATTTATGCATATTATTATTCATATGTGCGACAAAAATAAAGCTCATTATTCCAACGTTTACTCATCTTCATCTTCAATGTTCTCCCTCCGATTATTTCCGCAACAAACGCAAACGTTTTTAGTGTAATAATTTACAGTTACGTTTTTTTGGAAAAGTATTCTCGTAATTATTTATCTATTTCGTATGCACACATACTCTTCTACGTGTGTGAGACAAAGACAGAGTTTCTTTTAAAGTTTTATTTATTTCTCTCCAGCCATTCATCATCCCCATGTCCCCATGCACTCTCCTACCCAGAGTTCCTTGCGGTTGGCAGCCAGCATAGTACCTCTGCCACAGCAGGCCAGCGCCATGTGACGATTCGTCACAACTTTCACAGTCCATTCAAGATATTGCATATGCTTTTCATCCGTTTCATGTTTGACAAGTTTTTACATTTTGATGAAAAAAATTAATGACAAAGAATGGTTACGGTTGATTAAGAAAGTATCCCAAAACGTGAAAATCAACTTACATTTGCGTAGTTATCCTTTGTTTACATTGGTTGTAAGGCTCCACGTGCTGTCTTCGAAGCCCCGCGGAGAGCTAGCGATACGGCCACTTTGATACAGACATGCACCTCACTGTTGCAGTTGTAGTAACATATACATATAATTATGTAAAACAATATGCAAAGCTCACCGAAAGGCTTTAATTTGGCCAGTCTGTTCTGTTTTCAGAATAAGCGCGCTTGTTTACAAACAAGAGAAAAGTCCGGTCACGTGATATGCAAATTAGCTTGTGGCAGTGGTGTTATGCTTCCACACTCCGTCGCATTGGTGACTCAGTATAACACCACTGCCACAGGCTAATTTGCATATAACATGACCGGACTTTTCTCTTGTTTGTAAACAAACGCATTTTTTTCAGAAATCAGTACAGAACGGACTAATGCAAGTATTTGGGGGCGCTTTACATATTGTTTTGCATACTTATATAGATATGCTACTACAACTGCGACAGTGAGTTGCATGGCAATATATATTTATACATCAAAGTGACCGTATCGCTAGCTCTCCGTTGGCCTTTGATGACAGCACGTGGAGCCGTACAACCAATGTAAACAAAGAATAACTACGCAAAAACAAGAAGATTTTCACGTTTTAGGATACTTTCTTAATGAACCGTAACCATTCTTTGACATTTGTATGTGAAAATGTGCAGACTTGTCAAACATGAAACGGATGAAAAGCATATTCAATATCTTGTGACGAATCGTCACATGGCGCTGGCCTGTGGCAGAGGTACTATGCTGGCTGGCTGCCGGTCGCATGGAACTCTGGGTAGGAGAGTGGTTATGCTTCGTCACCACTGCGCCGGAGTGTGGTCCCCATTTAATTTGGTCAAACCCATAACAAATATTGTCATGCACCTCGCTGTCGCAGTTGTAGTAGCATATCAATATTATTATGCAACAAAATATGTAAAGCGCACCGAATGGCTTGCATTAGGCCCGTCTGTTCTGATTTTAAAAATAAGCGAGTTTGGTTTGCACACAAACAAATTACCCTGTGGCAGTGGTGTAATGCTAGGTTCCCACTGCTCCGGAGTGTGGTTATTGCGCTGAGCGATGTGACTGATTTTGCAATGATGTCAAGAATTTTTTTGTGTCAATCATTAAATAAGCACAGTCTGTGAAGTTATTATTGTTGATGTATTTATTTACCGCGGATAAGCCGGGAGATACATGTACAAACGAGTGTTCGCAAGACGACGTCATAGTAGAACATTACCGACTATGACGTCACAACGCCAAAGGTTAATTACGTCATCAAATGTGTCAAAGACGTTACCAGTCAGTGCTCCATTTCCGACTTTTCTGAATGAGAAGGTTATTCTTGTGAGTATGTTACACAGTTTTATTATAAACGCACTTTTTGCGAACGCGAATGAAATTGGATTATCTTTTTTATCTTTATTTATTTTCTTCAAATCATCAATCTGGCACCTAGTCCTTCGAATATCCTTTTGAAAGTCTAAACGAATTTTCGGTTTTTGGACTAATGTTTGCTGGAATACCATTTGAGGAATTATTTGTGTTTGTTTGAAAAGAACTAACGTCTTTTCGTTTGAATTAGCTGATGCTTCTTCATAAGTTAGAATTACCTATCTGAAAAAGATTATTACAAGAAAATAGGAACGACTCCATACAAGATAACCTTATTGCGAACTATGCAAAAGGACAATATACTATATGTCATGATATACATAGACACATTCTGAACACAAATCGTTAGGGATCATGATTATTTTTAGGATATTTTATGGAATTGTGTGCTCGGTTTTCACTACCAAAAATATCCCCACAAATATCCATGCGTGCGTGCGTGGGTTAGTCTGGATCAGACAATTAGTGACTGATATCATGAGCAACAATCCTCCCATTCAGGGCACGCTGACACGGAGCCTGATCATCGGATCCTTTAGGTCGCCTCGCACGGCAAACATAGGTTGCTGTGGACCATTTCTGACTCGGATTCCCCGCGGGGATTTGATGCCATTAAATACACGAGGTGGTGATATTCGGGACCACACTCTTCTGTGATCCACTTTGCATTCTGGGTACACGTTGACAAATCGAGCGTACTTGGCTGCTTCTGGTTTGTGTTTTTAATTACGTGTTAAGCCATGTTTGTCTAATGTTAATCAACTGATAGTTTATGATATTAGAATAGGTCTTCAGCAATCCAGGCGACTATGCTTGAGGCGACTAACGGGATCGGGTGGTCAGGCTCGCTGACTTGGTTGATGCACGTCATCGTTTTCCAGTTGCGTGGATCGATGCTCATGATCACTGGATTGTCTAGTCCAGACTCGATTATTTAAAGACCGCCGTCACGTAGCTGGAATATGGCTTAGTGTGGCGTTAAACAACAAACCAACAAACAAACATCGTAATAAGCCCTATACTTACAGATACACATACAAGGGATGTCAGCGGCAAACGGCGACTCACGTGACTGTACCACGTGGTCAAGGTCTCCGTCGAGCAGCAACTCAAAACGTTCTTACACTGCCGGTGTCTCCGACTACGAGGTGGATGCCATGAGTCTAACTGCAGCTGTTTGCCGAACAGTCAACGGGCGCATGCGCAAAAGCTATCGGAAGCAATCGGGGAAACAGAATTTACTTGATAACCGCAACAGCATGAAGGCGAATGACGCTTTCTTCATCAAGACTGGACACATGCGTTTTTACGGAACGTCACTTGCGTTTTCCCATGATCTTAACTTGACCCCGACGTCATTATGCCCTGACGCTGACGCCCACAACGCGCTCGTCCGTGACTACGACCTCCCACTGGCCTGCCCTACGTGCTGGAGTGCGCAGAGGAACAGGCAGCCAACTCATTTCAAGGTCAAGGTCGAGAAGAAGAAGGCTAAGAAATCGCCTATATGTAAATGAATGGTTGGAATGCGAACCACTCCAGGCAATGTATATCTTCCAATAAAAGGTATATCAAAGGAGCATAAGGCAACGAAGAGACAGTTTCCAAGATTGTTTATACAGGATTATATAAATAATCCACACCTGGGCCCACTTGCACAAAGCGATCTTAGCGCTAAGATGATCATAACTCTGGAGGGCACAGGTGCGCCAGTCGTCAATAGCGGTGCATTTTGCTGTACAGAGTTGCGTCCCTTAAGTTAGCGTGACAGATACCTTGGTTTAGAATCCCAGCCTCGAATGATTATGTTTCTAGGTCTGTTAGCTCCATACCCATGCCCTTTGGTTTCATCAAGTTGGTAAACGTCCGAGACCTGCATCTCTTGGGGCTGTCCCCCAACATCAAGCTGGCACGCCGTGATATAACTGAAATACATACTCATTTGGCGTTTAACCAACTGACTCACTCATTCCAAAGGTCATACGTTGAGCGTGTTGTCTCTAGGAGTGGCTGATACAGCGTGTTTAATGCCCTACTACATGGTCAGTACTCGACTACAGTCGGAGATGGGTAATTTTTATGTAGGGCTGAATATTGAACTGTATTCTTTAAAATAACAAGGACGTCCTCAAATGGCCCTTTTTCAGAATGCATGGCGACGTTGGGGGTGGTGGGGGGTGGTGGTGGTGGGGGGGGGGGGGGGGGGGGGGGGGGGGCGGAACTTGCCTGTCCGTTTGTCTTGCTTGTTTGCGGCTAGCCGAGAGCCGTGATGTAGAGTCATGTCTTGACTGTCCGACCCCGTCGCGTGACGTCAGTCAGGAGTGTTTCGCGTTTTGTTGACTGGTTTCACAACCCCGGTGCATCTTTGTGTTATTAATATGATAAAGCATGGCCACAACTGATAACATGTCTGAAAACATATCGTGAAACAGAGATTTTTACCCTCGTGTGTTTTCGTATCGTCGATATGATATTTTTGGAATATAATGTTTTGGTTCACAAATACAATGTTTACTCGTAATAGAATATTTAGTCCCCAGACATGCTCGCGTGAAAATCGTATTTCTTTTGTACATAGTTTAATTATCTGAAAAGTGAAAGCATAAAATTGATCTTACAATGTATGTCTAACTAACTACTTTCAGTCTGCATCAACGACAGGGATTATAAATAAATAAGAGAGTTCGCTTTTCTTCTCAAAAGTTATGTTTATATAATCTAGTAACTTGATAAAATTTACAGTTTCACTCTTCAAAATGTGTCATTCAATAAAAACACTTGTCAACTCCCTCAGTGTCATGAACATTTTATTTGAGAAGAATAGCCATGCGTGCGTGCGCGTGACTGAGTCTGTGTCTATGAGTGTGTATGTGAGTATGATTGAGTGTGTGTCTGTGAGTGTGTGTGTGTCTGTGAGTGTAGGTCTGTGTGTGAGAGTGTGTCTGTGTGTGTGCGTGTCTGTGAGTCTGTGTCTGTGAGTTTGTGTGTCTGTGAGTTTGTGTGTCTGTGTGTGTCTGTGAGTGTAGGTCTGTGTGTCTGTGTGTGAGAGTGTGTGTCTGTGAGTGTGTGTGTGTGTCTGTGAGTGTAGGTCTGTGTGTCTGTGTGTAAGAGTGTGTGTCTGTGTGTGAGAGTGTGTGTCTGTGTGTGAGAGTGTGTGTCTGTGTGTGTGCGTGTCTGTGAGTCTGTGTCTGTGAGTTTGTGTGTCTGTGTGTGTGTGTGTGTCTGTGAGTGCGTGTGTGTCCGTGGCTGTGTATGTGTGTGTGACATATACACACTGATCAAATATCTCTTTGTCTTTGTATTTCATCATTATTTTTAGAAAATAAATGAAACTGAAATAAGTGGAACTGAGAATGGTAATTTTGTTGTTGATGATATCCCATATTATGATGATTTGATTTTAGATGGAGATGTTACACAGAGTGAAGGACTGTTCGCTTTAAACAAACTTAAAAAAAACAAAAACACCTGGTTTGGACTTGATACGAAATGAATACCTGATTTCATCACCGCCTACATTACTAACTGTATATACTGACTACAATTGCATTCTAAATACTGAAATTTTCCCAGAGGCATGGCTCACGGGTATTATTAAGCCAATTTATAAGAAAAGGGGAAAAGACGGTGATCCAAATTCATACCGTCCAATTTCGATACTTCGCTGTTTCGGCAAACTATTAACTTCAATTCTCAATGAACGCCAAACCGAATTCTGTGAAAACTTTGAATCATTTCACTTTCGGGCTTTCGCAAATGATTTTCAACAGCAGATAATGGTGTTTTTTTATTATACAGTCTTATTAATTCGTTGAACAAAAGACATAAGAAATTACATTGTGCTTTTGTCAATATTTCTTAGGTTTTTGACAAGGTGTCGTGGGCTGTACTTTGGACCAAACTATTACGTTGTATGGTGAAAGGTGAAATATTTTTGTCTTATTCAAAATATGTATAGTGATATTAAATCGTTTGTTATGATAAAAAGATGAAATCTAGTTGAAATCTGAACAAAAGGATTCTGACAGATTTGGGTCTCTGTGGACAAACACTGCCTCCTACCTGTATACAGTAAACCACGCTTATAACGAACTGACCTATATAACGAACTTATTTTTTAGTCCCGGACATTTGTTGTAATCATGTTGTAGATATGCTTATAACGAACTACGGTTATGACGAACTAAAATTAGTGGTCCCTTTGAGTTCGTTATAACCGTAGTTTACTGTATATACTTGTCAACAATACTCTGTACTCGTCAAAGACCACAATCGCTCATTATCCTTTTGTTTATATTACTGACTTCGCCGGTCAATATGTTTACCACCCTTTTTGTGTACATAACAGGCTTCTCCACTCCAGCGTAACTTCATCTGATTCTTCTCAACTGTGGGCGGTCGGGTAGCCTAGTGGTTAAATCGTTCGCTCGTCACGCTGAAGACCCGGGTTCGATTCCCGACATGGGTACAATGTGTGAAGCCCATTTCTGGTCTCCCCCGCCGTGATATGGCTGAAATATTGCTAAAGGCGGCGTTAAACCATACTCACTCACTCACTCACTCAATCACTCTTCTGAACTGTATAACCACCGCCTCCTACCTGTATATACATGTAAATGTCTAAAATGTCAAAATATAAAACACTTGTTGGGGTAAATAAAATACATGCCCTGAAAACATAGTCTATACTTATGTGTGAAATGTAACTCATGTACCACCGTTGTGGTTACTTTGAGGAATAAAGAGCGTTATAGAAACATACTTATCTGCCCTTGATTCGCCTGCTCTTAGCCATCTCCTACCCAGAGTTCCATGCGACCAGATTCTACATCTGCCACAGGCCAGCGCCATGTGACGATTCGTCACATCTCACACAGTCCATTCAAAATATTGCATATGTTTTTCCTCTCTTTCGTTTTTGACGAGTATACATATTTGGACAAACATATGTCATAGAATGGTTAACTTTCATTGAGAAATTATCCTAAATTCTACCATCATTTTGGAATTTAGCCGATTCTGATTGGTAAATCAGAGGCTATTAAATCACAATAAACCCCCTCTGATTGAAACAGCTGCGCGTTCGGTTCCAAATTCAATTTAGCGCGGTTAAATCTACAGGTAACCTAGCTCTACTTTGAAAACACAGTATGTTTATCTCCTAAATGAGAAACCCATGTTTCCATTTGCGTAGTTGTATATTTTTTGTATACATTGTTTATACGGCATCGAAGCCCTACGGCCAGCGATACGGTCACTTTCATGTATAAAGATATATTGTCATGCACCTAACCGTCGCAGTTGTGGTAGCATATCTATATAATTATGCAAAACAATATGTTAAGCGGACCGAAAGGCTTGCATTTGGCCCGTCTGTTCTGATTTCAGAATAAGCGCGAATGTTTACAAACAGGAGAAAAGTCCGGTCACGTCATATGCAAATTAAACACGTGTCAAATGAAACACGTGTTTCACCGTTATCCAAACCGTCAATTATATGCTTTCTCGCCATCGCGCATTAATGTATTATTGATAGAAATGTATATTTGATTCTAGTGCCGTATAGATTTGGTGAATATTATACGTTCATATCTTAGACACATTTTTAGCCTTCATGTGAAGAAAGGTATTGTTTCATACTGTATATATACTAGTCTCTGGCTGTGTGTATTTGTATGTTTTAACCTGTTCACATATAGATGTACCAAAGGTTAGACTTAAAAAGACTATATGTCTGTTTACATACACTGGGTCACTACACGGTGACATCTTGTACCGCTGAATCAGCGTGAAGCGCCCGTTAAATCTCCATCAGTTAAACCGTCGACATTGCAAGGTGTGAGTGATGCGATAGCACAGTACGAAAGACTTACAACTGTTCCTTTTTCACGTATTTTCAGAGAGGACTATGGAATACTGTAAGGGACATTCTCGCGATCTCGCATTCTCGCGATCTCGACCTATGGAAACGAGCTAAATATGCCCAAAACACGAGAATGTGAGATCGCGAGAACGCGAGATTTTGGACAGTGAATGAGTTTGATTTTACGCCGCTTTTAGCAATATTCCAGCAATATCACGACGGGGGATACCAGAAATGGGCATCACACATTTTACCCATGTCGGGAATCGAACCCTGGTTTTCGGCGTGACGAGCGAACGCTTAACCATTAGGCTACCCGACCGCCCCAGTGCTATACAGAGTGATCAGTGTGGATGGAGCTGAGCAGGAGCAACTGGTTCTTCCGTCTAGATGTCGGCAGCAGCTCTGCATAGTCTACATGACAACATTGGCCACCCTGACAAAGACAGAACAATTTCCCTACTACGGGATAGGTTCTACTGGCCAGGAATGACCAAGGACGTCGAACTCCATTTGCAGAAGTGTGCACGATGTCTGCGACTAAAGACAGCTACTACAAGCCAAATCCACTTAAAATCAGATCTTAGTTCTCGTTTTCGCTAAACACATATCTGAGGACATCCCATTACGGGTCACGTCAGAACGACGCTTATTAGATCATGAACGTGACAGTCGAAATGTGTTTTCTAATCATGAAACATAGAACACTTACACGGG